CTTACTTATTTAGTCTTTTTCTAATTCTACTGTCATGAGCTTTAACATTTAACATGCTAACTGTGGCCTGTTCAGTTTTATTTGCAATTTTTCTGAGCATTATGTGGTCCGACTTTGGGGTGAATTTGCTGGGACAGCCATCTTTCTCACAGTAGAACAGTGGTCTTCACTGCATGGCTTGCAGCCCCTGGAGGCCAGTGTGGCAGTCTGTGACTGAATAAAAACAAATAAGCAAATTATCCAGAGCATCAGATTTTTCCTCTTTTTCCCCAACTAGACGCAGTACAACCTTCCCAATAATGTGCAACTACGTAGTTAAATAATCAATTAGGGTGGCAGAGAATGAAGCAGGAATGAAAACGTATTGCACGGTCATGCTTTGCTAGCTAACATTAAAAGAGGCAATGATGAAGGTGAGGCAGGACCACATGGGGTAAATGACACAGGCTCATAAAGAAGAGAAAAATCCCTTCAGTACAAAGCGAAAACAGATAATTTCAGGATAAATGGACCGACACATTTCATAATGGGTTGATGCACCACAAAGGCAGCTTGTCTTGTATGTACAAAATCAATAGTGGTTCTTAAACACTGTAATCTTTAAAGACATTTTACAATGGTGCATTCTGATTTAAATGAAAAATATCTACTTGGTATCTGCACAAAAATGGAATTGAGATTCTCTCTGCAAAATCTTATGCAAAGATCTCAAGCAGAAAGTGAAACCGAGGCGTTGGAAGGCTGAGCTAGGCAGATCGTCGTGGGTTTTAAAGTCAGCACTGTTAAAAGACATCACTGTGCATTTGAATGTGCTTAATCACCGGCTTCAGGGACAATATAAACTTCCAGGACCACTGGAAATGCTGCACATTTTTTCAGAATAAAGTTACACAACTCTTTATGATCGATAGTGTTCACTCATTTTCCTTCTCTCAAAGCAATGGACAAGCTATAGTTGATTTCATTGGTTGGTTCATTTGTGCAGATTTTGGAAGATCTTTGAGATAAATTAGAATCAAGATTCACAGATGTGAATGAATTCAAGGAGTTTTTCAATTTCAGCATGTTTTCCATGTTTCAGCATGTGTTTTTTTTCATGTTACCTGTGATGATAGACTTCTGCTGCAGCATAGCTAAGTTAGAGATTGAAATCATCGAACTCCAGGCAAAAGAGGTCTTGCGGTCTGAACGCCAGTTGGAAAAGAATTCCCCACTGTCAAGCAGTGTGTGAAGAAGGTGCTCTCCTTCTTTGTGAGTACCTATACTTGTGAAGCTATGTTTTCTTCACTGAATATTGTAAAAGGAAAACACAGAAACAGACTGTGAAATCCACTTGTTGACTGCAATTGTGATGACCCACTACAAATACAAAATGTCTGAAGTGAAGCAGCATCAAGATTACTTCCGACTAGCCAGCTTTTAAAGAATAAATGGTGGCCCCCACCGCCCCTTTACACTGGTAAGTGTGGCCCTCATCTTGATTTCAATGAAGAATGCTGCTGTAGAATGATGGACTTCAAATTGTTTGGAAATGGTCTTATAACCCTTCCCAGACTGATGGGCAGCAACAATTGCTTCTCTAAGATCATTGCTGATGTTTACTCATTGGCATTGTGTTAACACACACCTGAATGCTCCAGACCAGCAAACTGCCAAAATTACTGCTTTTATAGAGGTGGTCAGACTAGCTGATGATCAACTTGACTACTACTTACCCATTTTGTTTGCACTAATAAATGCTGCTGCCTGCAAGGTATAATCACTGATAAACCGTTTTTAATAATTTTTTTCTATATCGTCATAAATATCATTATAACAAATTTCCTTGAAATCGTGATGAGGTTATATTGCCCACCCCTAATATCATGTATTGTTCATCTGAGGTTGCATTTACCTAATTTTAAGACCTGCTAAGTACCAGATAGTCCTTAGAATGAGCTTTAATGCCAAGCCATTTTTTTTTTCTTATCTTTCTTCCCTCCCTTTCTACCCTTGCATACTTGATGATGTTAGGAATCCCAAGAGTTGAAAAACATCCCCCAGCGTCAGACAGCTTCACTGCTGTTCTCCAGGCATGACAATTTGCATAGTTCATTCCCTTCATCTCCTCCTTAATAAAATCAGTCCTCTTTTCAGGGGCTACAGCAAATGACAGCAACGTTATTATAGCGATTAGTCTCCGGCGGGATCCCAATGACTCCCGTTTAGGGGCAGCGTGTGGCTCAGTGGGCTAAGCCTGTGTGCTTGTAATCACAAGGTCGCCGGTTCAAACCCAGCCTCAGCATGTCTGCGGGTCCTTGAGCAAGACCCTTAACCCCCAGCTCCCTGGGCACCCCAACAGGTGGCTGCCCTTCGCAGACAGCTTGTTCTACAAAGAGCAAGTTGATGGAGGCGTAAAAAGAATTTCCCTATGAGTGACAATAAAGGTTAAATTATTATTATTATTATTAAGAGGGTGTCCGCTTTAGCCCTACCGTTAGCGCCATTCTTGTGTGCTTTTTTATATAGGTGTCAAAGGGCCCCACACCAGCTTTTTTTGCATAAGGTTTGAGATCCTCTATGCTTTGACAGGTAGTTCACAAAAAGGCTCGCTGTTCATTGTCAAGACACAAACATCCTATGATGACTAATTATTTGAATGAACGTCTTTACAATATGTTCTGGTGGGCTGCTGAGATGGAAGACAGGTGGCTGATGACTGAACAGGTGTCTGATGGGATATGTGACTCAAGCGCAGTGCACGGCAATGGCGATTCGGGTGCCGAGCAAACAGCAGGGTGGAAATTAGCTGTAATTACAGGCCATATCTTGCTCAGTAATTACTGTATCCTTTGTCGTCATCTAAACCTAGCATGTAGAAACTGAGTTCTTCCTTCAAATGTGTTCTGCAATTCTGTGCTTTGTTAAACTCACTTGAAATCAGATTTTTCCCACAAATTCTGAAAACTTGGTTCATCTACAGCTAATATTGTTCCTCCTTTAGTGCATTTGTCAGAAATTTTATTGCTAGATGCATGACTCCACACATTTTTATAATTTTACTTTAGAATTCCTTTTAGAATAACAAAACAATGTGCTGGTGCTTATGAATGAGCCAATAATTCTGCTTTAAATGCACTTTGAGCATTATGGATAATGTAACACTTGAGGGACAACCTGTCACGATTCGGCAGGCAGGTGAGCAGGGAAGAAGGAAAGCAAGCCGTACTTACGGGTAAACAGGGGTTTAATCGGCAAGAAACAAACACGCAGGAACATCCACGGACACTACAATGACGGATCTGGGGAAACTAACTGAGACACGGACTAAATACAAAAGACAAGCTAAGGGTAACGAGCAACAGGTGGGAACAATCAGGCAGAAACAGGAGGTAACGAGGTGGGGGTGGCACACATTAGGATCGGACGGAGCGGGGCGTGACACAACCTCTGAATTAACAGTGAACCTTTCCAGAATTATGAGGTCACATTTGATAGCTCAAATGTGTTTTTGTGTTATTAGCATACTGAGACCAGGTTTCCACGCTTTCAGCTTTCAACATAGTGCTGTCTGTGAGCCTGAAGAAACTACTGAACTAAGGTGTGGTGGGACCTCAGATAATGGGGACTGGCTAGGGGCGGAGTGGCCATTAGGGGCACCGGGAGATTTCCTGATGAGCTGCCATACATACACATTCAAATGCTCATAAAGAAATGCACGTGCATGTAGAAAATCTGTTTGAAGTCCCCTCCCCCCGCCAAAGTGGTATGACCCTGCTTGGCGTGCATGTAACCATTGAGGAGAAAAGGTAGTGGCACCTCCTAAAATTAAAAAATAAACAAAAACAATTAAATGATACAAACCTATTTTGTGTGAAACTAAACTGAAAAGAAAAATCAATGGTACTGCCCATCCCTACAATTTGATGTCTGTTCAATCCATGGTTGGTATCACCTATACCGATCTTGATCCTGACAGTTGTATCAAAATAATAATTTTTGCCAAGCCTGACCAGAGGTGGGGATTGACCCTACAGTATGACATATAGCTTTATTGACAAGCTGTTCCTAAATGGAAAAAATAAAAAAGAAAATGGGATTAGTGGTACACCCATACCTCAAGAAGCTACTTTTGTTTTAAGAAGGAATAATCTTTGGCCGATATTCTTGAACTTTCAGACAGCACAATATTACTACTATCATTTTATTTGAGTACAGATTAAATTTCCAGTTGATTTTGAAACTTTGGATTATGTTGCTACCTGTAGGAATCATTGGTTTGATTTAGTATTTCGCCATATTCTGAAGCTAGAATAAATGTTCAGCTTATTTAGGAGTGCCTCCCATTCTAGTCTGTATCATGTTATGCCTGGGCTGGCTGTTCTCTTGCAAGAAAATATAAAGTACAAGGTAGTGTAATTGCACATTATTTACATATAAGACTTTTATTAATTATTTTTCTTAACCAGTAAAAGCTAAGACGCAGACTGCTTGTCAGTCAGATGGGGCTGGCTGGGAGGCAGATGAAAGCCTGCAGCTGCAAGTCAGGTCACTTCATGTCTGCTTTATCAGATCCTTCATCTTCAGAAGTGGAGCCTACAGTCGGGAACAATCAGATTAATTCGCTTTTAATAGGCCTTTCTGCTTCATTTGGGTAATGAACAATGACATTTCCAGAATGTCATTTTTTATATGCACTTTTGCTAAACATTTAAGTTAAAGAACATATACATTAATGTCTTTAAGTTGGGAGAACCTGGGAACCTTTACATTTTGACAATTTCAATATCCTGAATTATTTGTTTTGTTGGCTTTGTGATGTAATTTACCTTTTGTGGTTTTTCAGTTTCACTCTGCATTCAACCATTATAAAAGCACATGAAATGTAGATAATAAAACTTTGAAATTTAAATTAGCCCCCATTTCTTCATCCTTGGGATGGAGTCCTTCCCACTTATGCAGTGAGCTGAGCGTTAATGTGACGGATAATAACCCACCGTTCCATGCCATGTGTTTTCCAGACGGAGGTTATCAAAGGCAGTTCTCAGAGTGTTGGTATGACGTTTCGACATGTCCCGGCCACCGAGGGTGATGTTGTGCATGTCAGCATTGAGACGGTCACCCCCAACTCACCCGCTGCCTTGGCTGACCTACAGAAAGGGGACCGGCTCATAGCTATTGGAGGTAAGAAATGTTTCCCCTTCAGTTTGTGCCTGCCCATCTTCAAGCTGTACCTAAAATTTTTTATGTGATACCATAATGCCGTTGCTGGAAAAACTGGTGACATGAAATAAATATCAGAGTTAATACCTGCAATGACATATCTCAAGCCTTGAGAATTCTATATTTTTTGGCAGGTGTTAAAGTGACATCCTCTGTCCAAGTGCCAAAGCTCCTCAAGCAGGCTGGAGATAAGGTACAAGTTGTCTATGAAAGGCCCGTACGTCATCAGATCCCACCCATGGGAGCCCTTCAGGAAGGTTTCGGCCAGCTGGAGGAGCCCAGTTTTCTGCCCCAGCCCGTGTATGAAGAAGACCCGGCCCCCATCACCGCTCTTGATACTTCTGACAGCAAAGACATGGACTCAGAATTTGAGGAGCTAATCATGGACCCTAAGCCCATTATTAGTGACATCAAGGATGATCTCCTTCCTGTTAACCAAAGTCCTAAAAGAACTGTGACTAATCTTGCCACCAAGCCTCTGGGCACAATTTCTCCCATCTTGAACCGTAAACTGAATTTGTCTGGTCTTCAGTTGCCACTGAAACCACAGACGAAGGAGACACTCAAATCCTTGCCTCCTAAAAGCAGCGAATTGCCTGAAGGACCTCAACGGCCTGCTGCCCCTCCTCCACCCCCTCCCAGTCGACCGCCAGTGCCCCCCAGGACCCACATCAAGCTGACATCAACCACTTCAGACACCCCGAGTGTGCAGGATGGAGGGGATGTGCCTTCAGAGAAACCAGAGAGGCCCATCCCACCTGTAAACAATGGAGACAAACAGCCCACCAATGAGAAGGTTGCAGTCAAACTCCCAGATCAAAAGCCAGCTGTCAGACAAATGGAGACCAGCGAAGACCTGCCAGCTGATTACATTTCCCGCCGGCAAGATGCAGCCAAAGACAAGGTCTCAGAGGCGTCTACCAGCACAAAAGACAGCCTGGAGGATCATCTTACCTGGGAATCATCAGAGACCCTGTTACGTAACCAATCTGCAAAATGGGCCAAGGCCTCTGTGGTTTTTGATGTAGAAAGCAACCATAAATACCTTAATGTAGCCCTTTGGTGTAAAGACCCTTTCAAACTAGGCAGTCTCTTGTGCTTGGGGCATGTTAGTCTGAAACTGGAGCACATCGCACTGGAGTGCCTGTCCATATCCTCCTTGGAGTTCCAGAGCACCTTCAGGCTGTGTCCCCCAGAACCGAGAGCTAGTGTGAGCCGCACAGCTCTGCGCAACCTCAGCACCCACAAGGGCTTCAATGAGAAGCTGTGTTATGGTGACGTCACCCTTAACTTCACTTACCTGAACGATAGCGAATCAGAATTCTCCAGCAGCCTGGTGGAGTTTGAGCGAGAAAACATCCAGCAGGATGACGATCAGTGTCAGCAGCAGCAGCAGCAGCAGCAACAGCAGCAGCCAGTGCTGCCCCGTGAGGAGCATGGCTTCAGCTCCATGCAGATTGCGGAATTCAAGCACAACTTCCAGGATACCCAGTTCCAGAATCCCACTTGGTGTGAATACTGCAAGAAGAAAGTATGGACCAAGGCAGCCTCCCAGTGCATGATCTGTGCCTATGTGTGCCACAAGAAGTGCCAGGAAAAGTGTCTCAGCGAGCACCCATTTTGCATGGCTGCTGACCGCCGGGGCGCTGACTCTGAGGCAAAGTCCACCATCAACAGAGCCACCACTGGCCTGACCCGCCACATCCTTAATACAAGCTCCCGGCTGCTGAGCCTGCGACAGGTGCCCAAAGCCAGGTTGGCAGAGCAGGTGGCCGACCCCACTGTAGAGCCATCACCCAAGCAAACGCCCAATACCTCGGACAATGAGAGCAGCGACACCGAGACTTATGCTGGGGCAAGCCCTTCCAAAAAAGCCACTTCCACAAGTGGGAGCACCACTAAGCTGGCACGCAAAGAGGGTGGCCTGGATGATAGCGTTTTCATAGCTGTTAAGGAGATTGGGCGGGACCTTTACCGGGGCCTGCCCACAGATGAGCGCTCGCAGAAGCTGGAATTCATGCTGGACAAGTTACAGCAGGAGATCGACCAGGAGCTGGAGCACAACAACTCCTTGTTGCTTGAGGAGAGGGAGACTGCTGATCCCCGCAAGAAAGCACTCACCAGTGCGGCCCTTGCCAAGTCTGGTGAGCGGCTCCAGGCACTCACGTTACTCACGATTCACTACCGCGCTGGCATTGAGGACCTGGAATCCGTCGAGAGCACCTCCCCATCTGAGCATCAGGGCTTCAAGGCCAAATGTGGCTCGGAGGACACCCTTGAAGGGGCGGAAGACTTCGACACAGACACCTGCAATCCTCTAGATGTTCCACTGCTGGATGACATCACAGAGGAGCAGATTTGTGTAGAGGCGTTGCCATAGACATAGATGGGCATGACGCTTGTAATTATCAAAAGAATATTTTAATTTATTATTATTTTTTTTTTTTGGCGTGGGGGTTTATTTGCAGGGATGGGGAGGTATAGAGGGATTATTAACGCTGAAATGGTTATGGGGATTTCCCAGTCTGACTGTACCAATAAGCATTACAAAGCCAATTCATTGTAAGAACATGTGCGATGCTGTCACTTGTGCGGGGCAGCCTGAGCAGAATCCTGCAGTTATTGGTAGGTGTATTTAATGTGCCGTTTCTTACAGTGTGATTTTATCCCCTCCGTTTTCATAGTGTGCTTTTCGTAGCTTCTGTGTTTATGCAACAACTTGGCACATGTGGAAGAATCCCAAGATCATATCACTCACATGTGTTTGGATGGTTGTAATCATTCTTTTTTGCACTTTAAATATGGTCACTCTGTGTGTGTGTTTTTTTTTTTTAAATCAAAATAAATAGTGGAGACAAGAGTTTTATTTGTTTTTAATGATGAGCAACTCATTGGAGAATTATACATATTCACTTGCTGGAGAGGTATAGTGGGTAATGGTTTTTGGCTTGGTTTTCTTCTGCAAAGCCTTGAGAGGGAAGTAGGAGTTGTGGAACTCAGTGTTAGTAAATGTTTAGGTGGTTCAATGTTTCAAGCCTCTTGCCCGAAAACACTGTATACCAGTAACCTATAGGGAAAGATCAAGCAATTAGCTGGCGCCAGGTGAAGTATCATTCTTTTACAATCTGCACTTTTAATCTGTCGTCAACAATGTTTCCTGTCTGTAAGCACTTTAAACTTAATGCTTTTGTTTGGTCTGCTGCTTCTCTTCTCATCTTTGTCTTTTTTTTTTTTTTTTTTTTAATCGGTTTCTGTGTTAACTGCTAAGGAGGGGGTGGGCAACACCAGTGGGGCCAGATGTTTTTATTTGTGTAAATTATTTATATTCTAGGGTGAGAATTCATTTTACCATCTTTATTATTTTTAATGTTCATTTGTATGTGTATACGCTCTTGCTTAGTCAAACCACTATGGAGGGGTAGAATATGTAATCAAAAATGGTAGATTAATATTAACTGATAAGAGCAAAATATCTCAAGTCAGAACAAATTTCCTGCCTTCTCTACTAGTGAGCTGTTAAGTATGTTTTTCAGTGGTATCTTCGGGTCAGGTACATGCCGTTCAGCCTCTTACCAGAGATGTAATTATGTATGTGACAGAAAGCTTTTGGCTCAGGCCCTTTTTCCTTATTCAGTGGATTATTGATCTGGCCAGGAGACAGATGATTTTGTAAGGATCTGTGTTTGGTTGTTTGTGTTGGGAGGGCAGAAGCACATTCCACTCAGAGCCCCAAAATCTCAGTTCATCTCAGCTATATGCAGCAGTTTGCAGCGTAAGCAAATCTCAGTCAAGTGAAGCTCTTAAATTCTACAAAAGCCTGGTTGATTAGGTGGGGAATGGGTGAGAGATGCTGATCCTGTCACTCAGAAAGCCAAAGTATCCCAAGATGATCTGACTGTGGATCCTGGTTGACTGTGTCACCAAGTTGAAAGTGATCAGCATTCCTTTGTGTCTGGGTACTAACACAGAAGGACTGGATGTCTGAGGATGATGGAATGGAGGAAGAGATTTGTGGAGTAGACCTGCTGTCCCCTAGGTACATTGCTGCTACATTCTGCAATTGTTGTATATTCAGATTTTTGTGCAATATTTTTGTAGGAAATGAAGATTAAAGGTGGCACCAGAACTAATTTGATCTGCAATCTCAACCCCTGGCAGCATAATTTTATCAAGACAGGTCTGCTCCCAACATGGCTGGAGCCAAATTCATGAGAGCCGGTTTCCCTACTGTAACTCCTGGCCTGTGAACCCAGACATTACTCATTCCTTTCATGCTATGATGACTTATTAACATTATCTGGCATTGCTATATGGAGGACAGAGCATTTTGGCAAGCAAGCTGTAACAATAATAACATGGATGGTATACTCCAGTGCTACTGTACATAGCCTAAATAAATATCACCGCAAGTCTACAAGTGTTTCTGTTTTACCCACCACCGGATGTATGACTTTGAGGTCCAAGTAATGGAAAATGCCTTAGCTTATATATACATGCTCAACATCCTAATCCTGTTATATGTGTGTGTTATTTTAATTGCATGTTTCCCTTTCATTCAGCTCTGAAAATAATGAAATTAAGCAAGACAAGCAAATTTTATCCTAGTGCATGTGGAAAAAGTTGCATTCAGCAGCAGCCAGTGTTATGCACAGTTCAAAGTCCTGTTAGGGGAAAGATAATTATGGATAATACATAATGTATAAAAGTAATTAGAATGCACCCCAGAGACTGACATCACAGTAAGATGGCTGATGCCATAGGTTGATGTATCTGCCTTCAACTCCCAGACCTCCACAAATAAAGAACTAGCTTATCTGTATTGAAAAGCTGCTGTATGGATTTCTAAAAGGAGACTTGCACTCATGTTAACAGAGAAAATGTATCTGACAGTTTGTTGCTGGAATTCAATCTTAAAATTTCACCTGAGGTCGGGGGCGTTGCTAGAGATTTTGGGTCCCATGAAAGCATATCATATTGGGCCCCCTAGTCTGGACCAATCCAGTAATTTTCCACATTTTTTAGGGCCCCTGAGTTAGAATCATCCTAATATCCTCCTCCCACCCTTATGGCACCCCTGCCTGAGGTATTTATGAGAACACATCTGATTTATAAGGACATTTTTCTTTTCTGACCATGCCTGTGAGTGGCTTCCGAATGAGAAGAGGCTCAATGACAGCCTGGCTGGCTCTCTGATTTTCATAGCAACAAAATGGTCAACTGTCATTCGTCCAATGGCCTGTACTTCGAAGCTGGGTTACTGGCTTATCGGGGTAACTTGTCGGATTTAAGGTACCACAGTTTAAATGGACTTCATATTCGTTAACTTACATTTTGCCCAGACTACCTTAAATCCGACAATTTACTCCGATAAGCCAGTAACCCCGCTTCGTAGTACAGGCCACTGGGGATTTTCCTAAATATTCATACTAGTGCTGTCTTTCCTGTTTTAACTTTTACTATGTGAAATCCTCCTCCTGTTACCAGGAGGAAATTGATGCAGGTGCTTTACAGTTAATTTTGACTTTAAAATAATGGACTACTAATCATACATTTTAAACTGGATTCTACATTCTTTAATCCACTTAATTTTCTAAACATTCCACACAAATGACATATAGTTGTACAACATTGCTGCATTCCCCTGTATTAAATATTAATATACAGAATACAAGCACACCATTACACCTTTGAATTAACCAATTTCCTGGTTAAAAGTACAATTTCACAGATGTCTTTTTGTACAGGTTACTTAATATTTCATGTAGTACAAATACAAACCAAGGACTCACAGATTAGAAGGCATACACACACATACACATCCATTTAATTTTTATATGTGCTAAATTTCTTTTACCAAACAACAAACTCTAAAATATATGCTAATCTCCATAAGACAATGAATGTGTAACGAAAACAAGATTCTAACCACGTGTACAAATTACATGATTACGGTGGCCATTTTGACTGAGCTTTCATAAACTTTCAAATAGGTTTGCAGTAGAGGTCATTAGGGAGTCGATTAAAGTAGGGTTTTAGTATTGATCTGTTTGTTTTTTTGATGTATGAGAAATGTCACTCTATAGTGATAGACATCCATTTTGTCATTATGATGGATACATACATAGCAATAACTGTGGACCTGTCATTAACCAGTTACAGTAAATGCTAAAGAGCAATCATGGGTGGTTGCTATTAAATGTCCTTTGAATACTTCACTGTTCCTGTTATTTCTCAGGGCTCTTGCCCAAGAGTAGAGTCAGTATTTTCACTTCTGCCATGCTAAAATTGAACAGGGAAAGGACACTCAATATCTGAGAGAAAATGTGTTAAATGGCAATGTAAAAAGCTTATGTGTCTATCACACTATCCAGGCGTGCTGCATAAATAGCTTGGTTAATTAAGCATTAGGAAACTACTCATTTAGGAACCTAGAGCCAAGAGCAGGAGCACAAATGTGTTATGATATCTGTCTTTATTAGTAGGGAAAATGCTTTTGCGAGTACTATTGACTCATGGGAGAAATGTGCATGATGCCCTGCTTCTAAATCAATATCAAGGGAGCAGGTGTCTGCTGGTCAGACACATTTATGTACCTCAGAAGTGAGTATTGACATTTTGATCAACGCAATGTGACGCAGTATTGCACTTCAAGATACCTTTAAATCAGGGTGAGCAAATAAGATAATGAAGAAATGCAACCTTTTACTCCACGTGCAAAAGCACACGTGACCTACATATAAATGTAAAAGACTATGCATACCTGGTAAGTCCTGGAAAGTAATCTGTCCGTTTAAATGGTCAAAAATTCTGGGTCAGTTTTATTGTTTGCGAAAGTGGTCTAGTTAACACTGGTCAACAAATTTTTACTGTCTTTTTGTCACACAAATCAAAATAGGTGAATCTTAAAATATTTTTGCTTGATTAAAATATCTAATCAGAATTTCCCTGTCATACAAGGATGTTGTCACACGCTGTTAAATATGTATATGTGCATGATGGAATTGTATGACCTGCTGTACTTGGCCTCAGGAATATCCCTCTTAAGGGTCTATGAACTGCAAAGGGAGCTGGGGGATAAACAAGTACATAAAAATGCCCCTTAGCTGTTTTGTGACATAGTTTTTGTTGACCAGTGTAATTTATTTCCAGCAGTGAAGCAAACTTGCTTGAGTGTGTGCTCTGTTATTTTTCACATGCATGCTAAAATGCTACTCGTTGCTGTATAAATGTTTACTTCCTACCAGGTGTATTTGCAGGGGGAAGAAGAACCAGTACCTACTGACATGGGGGCAGACGTGTAGCTGGAGATTCAACAGCAAATTTGTAAAGAATCTTTGATATATCACAAGAATGCCGTTTTCATTTTGAAGGTTAAGATGCACCCCAGCCTCACAGAAGCAGTAAATGTGATGTGATTTAACCTCAACAAAATATTTCTCCCAACAAAATAGATTTTAATGATTGCACAAGAAGATAAATCCTTTTTAAAATTTTTCCCCTGATTGCGCAAACAAGTTAAATATTTAAGGCCCATTTCAAGGTAAGCAAATAGTCTCTTTAAACATGTAATAAAGACGAGAACATTTTACATTAAAATTGGGCACCATGTAACTGTACAGGATAACATTTGATTTTGACAACACCTGCTTTATGCAGTGAATGCCAACAAAGCAGAAAACATACTGGCATTACCAAATCTAATTTTACCAAAAAGCATATTAACTGCACAGAGCCTTCACTGAATGTCTTTAAAGTGCCAGATTCAAATATCATCCTTTCAAAAGCAACATCAATGCTAATCACACAGGCTTTGTTCTTACTTAAACAGTTATTTTGGAAATATCACGGATTTCATCACCAGTTAACCAAAGCGCAACCTTTAGAGTTTCTGTGGCCAGAGAGCGAGCTGAAGTCACATATAACATCACACAGCACTTCACCCTGAGAGGGAATTCAGGGTTCCACTATCTTGACATCTGTAATTATGTGTGCATGTCACAATGGACAAGGACAAACCGCTTTGGTCTGAGTAGGTGGAATACTATAGTGACATGGAACAGTAAGAAGAGCTAGGGGGGAATGATCACACACAAATGGCTCTTCTTTTTTTTTTTCTGTAAAAGGTCACGTACATGTGTGGCTTCCTCGGCTACTCATCACTTTCTGTCTCCATCTCCTCTCCCATCTGATAGTGCTGTGAGTCCTGCGTTGTGTACATTCGCGTCTTCATTGGACAGTCGTGGTTCATTAAGATTGCCTTGAAAGGATACAGGCATAATGACATTTGTCAGACTTCATCCACGAAGCAGATGGAACAGCACCTGACATTTCATGTGTTGTAAAATTATACGAGTATACTGTTAACAGAAGAATTTAATCCATTTTCCGAAACCGTTTGTTCTACTCAGTGTGGCAGGCGATCCGGAGCTAACCAGGAGGCTACAAGCGCATGTTTAACACAATTGACACAGTTTAAATATGTTTAATTTCCTGTAGCTTTGTACTGCAGAATAGAAGGAGACAGTTATACACTGTACAGTATGCAGGAGAACTGCCTCTTACAAATCTTTATCAGGGTGCAGCAGTAGACACTGGGTCCTCTAAGGGCTTTCAGTTGCTACTTGTAATGGGGCAATAACGTATATGCTGAGGTAACCTCTGGAGCAGAGCTGAGAAGGCTCATACTTGCAATATTAGGCTGCTCTGCACACAGTAGAACGCATAAAGCAATATCTTTTTATGTTTATTATTTTTTAAAATCTGACGAACCAGAGACACCAGGGCTACATTAAACCGATGGTTGTGAAACTGAAGCTGCTTAAAGGCATTTTCTCACCATTTTCTCTTCCTTAGCAGCTGGATTCCTGAGGAAAAAGCAGAGAGGGGCAAACAGGATATCCACAATGCCAATGATGGTCATTAGCCAGGGGAACCCGATACTACGGGCGATGGCACCCCCAGTCGACGGACCTGTGCAAGACAATGACAGAATGTGTTATCAATTATGGAGTCTCCAATGATTAGGTCACCCAACTCCCCTCACCCACCTTCCTCATACCCACACAGTAAGCTCCAGCCCTGGCTGTTCCTCACAGCCAACAGCTTAGTGCCTAAAACAGGGGTCTCCAACTCCGGTCCTGGAGAGCTACTATCCAGTAGGTTTTCTGTCCCACTTGGCTTCTGATGAGCCACACCTGGCCCTGGTATTTACCTGAGAACAGGTGTGACTCATCAGAAGCCAGGTAGGATTGAAAACTGACTGGATAGTACCTCTCCAGGACCGGAGTTGGAGACCCCTGGCCTAAAACCTAAAATATTCTGAAGTGTTACTCAAGGTTACGCAGTGTTTCTGCTGACCTAAAGCAAAGCCCATGCAAAAAGCAACATCCGCGATGGCGTACACGCTGCCATACACAGACACGTGGCGAAGGTCGACGAGGTAGCCCATTATCGGCATCATAGAGGAGTCCACCATGCCTGTTGGAAACCAAAACAGCAACGTTTCACAGCTCTGAATACTCACTAGTAAACCTGGTAAAACAGACATATATACTTGTCATGTGATTTTCTGCACCAACTGATAGCACCTTTCTCTATGGAGTGGGAATTGACTTTACTCACCGATGGCAAAACCAACACCAAAATTGGGTATTATCAGTCCATAGATGCTTTTAGCAAATGGTACCTAGAAAAATAAAGGAAAAGAACTTTGAAAACACTCGTGCAGGGGATACAAAATGTTATTGTAAAGGTCTGCTTCTGAAGTGCAAACATCAGTCTTCACAGCATACAAAAAAAGCATCAAACCTGAAAGTGATTTTCTTTGACTATGAAATATCATGTCTAACTTCAGTTAAAATCCTGTTAGGACTGCATCTTAGCTACTCTCTGTACAATCAGAGATATGATGCTAAAGGAATATGTCTTCTTCACTGTTCTTGAGGAGAATGGAGGTCTAACTGGGGAGATGGGCAGTCCATTCATTGCCCCTCGCCCAGAGGCACCTGTGTTCAGTCTCCACTGCAGTTTGTGATGGTGTGAACCCCACCATGTATGCGGGAGATAGGGGAAGCCCATCTGTGTTCATTTGCGTATTATTTGCACTCACACAGAGAATGCTAATCCCCACGAGAAGCATCCCTATGAGAGCACACAGCCACCTGGAAGAAAGCAAAGCAGTGATAAGAGTCTGCCAAAGACAGTACTGCAGTCTGGAGTTTGCTCACGTCTGGCAGTGACCAGGGTTACAGGGTCAGAGAATAATGAATGCCGTAATTTAAGTGGAAAAAGAAAATGAGCTTTTGCCCGATTAAATTAACTCAGTGTTTATGGGATATATTGGGAACAAGAAATTTATCGTGCAATTACTAAGGTCAGCCACTGCTGTAAAAAAATATACGTAAATACAAGTAACTGGTCAATATTTCTGGCAAAAGAATTTTCTCAAGTACTACTGTAAATTAAGATCTGTACTTGCCTATTTTCACTATACATAAGTCATAACAAATCAGCAAAAATTATATTACTCTCACAGCAGGTCAACAGTTCATCAAAAATGTTCAGTCCCGTGGCGAGGATTTCAGTAAGCAGCATTGTGAAAATGACACTGAAATATCTGAAATATCATTTAACATTAGTATCACAAGCAGATCGCCTGAGAGTGAAAAAAGAGCAATTTCCCCCTTACCTTCCCATTTTGTGTGCAAGAACACCAAATATGTTGGTTCCAATAAGGTAGGAGACACTGGCAGGCACAAATGCAACGCCTGACGAAATAAGAGGAAGACGTCAGGGAGATAAGCATGTGTGTTATCGGTCTCCATCAGAGAGCTGCCCAGTGCCTGCGAGGAGCACTAATGAAGCCTCCTCAGACGAGCTGCTCTCCTTTCGGCCGTGAATGACACCTTCATATCCTGCCTGCCCCTGATTCCTCGGCTTACTCCTAATTAGCTTCTCGCTCTCCACCCCGGTCTCTACACCATTATCTCTTGTGACCTGGCTGGGACGCTGCTAACAAAACAAAAGGGTGCCCCCGGCACAAGCATTCTCCCTTTTGTGTGGGAATAGGATGAATAACAGTGGATCGCTTAAGCCGCAACACTGCCTGCGGGATGTTTGCCATGCTTTAGCCTTCTGTTAGAGCTGCAGTATTCTTGGGAAGTGTCCAGTGAAAATAAACATATTGGTGATAAATTTAAGGAAGCTATTCATCAAGCAACATTCAAAGAGAAAATATGTATTGTGTCACCTTAGGCATTGAAAGTGCAATTGTTCTTCTGTTTTCAGAATGACAGTAGGCACGAGGAAATGAGGGGTGAACTTTTGAATGTCACATGCCATGTTTTGAAGTTGTCCACATTCTGTGGAAAGGCTGTAATAAATAAATAAGATTTACCTAGCTGCCATTTTGGGGAACACATAGTCTCCATCATCCAGATTGGCAGTGCGGGTTCCAGCATGGCAATCGCCATGTTTGCAAAGCAAATGGACCCTGGAAAATGAATCCAATACAAAAGGATGATCAGAGACTCACTCTCATTTCTTTTGGTAACATTCAGCCTTTTGTTTCCACTGGCTCCTGATCAGACAGAAAACCGCATATTAGCGCAGCCCAGCTCAGAGGCATTAATAGAAGTGGTGGGCATGTTCAGTGACATGTTGACGTGCCTCACTGCTTTAATGTATCACACATGGCCTGTTTTTATAGAGAGGGATGTTTTAAACATGCTATGGCCTTTTAAGTCACCACTGATTACCCTCCTTTTCCATAATATCACACATCCTTTACAAAGTGATGGACAGACCGTTACTCCTGTTCTGTCCATTTATTGCATTTTTCTGCAGCAATAATACAGATGAATGCTTAGCACAGAAGGAAATGTGTATCTGAAATCTCTATCTGTGTATCACTCAAGTGTCACTGCCATGTGCTGCTGTGAGTACCAAGCATTCCATACAATAATAAACCTTCCAGGATTTGCTGTTCAAATGTACGTTTCCGCTTGTTTCCTTACCCGCAGCAATGAGAATATAAGGATCTTGCATGAGGGTCAGCAACGAGGTTCCCTTCTGGCTCTGTCAAAAAGAATTGTTCTGATCAGACAAGGGAGATCAACGTTGTGTTTCTGTGTCCTATCATCTTAAATTGTCTGATGATTACTGAGACTGCTACAGCTAGTAATTATGTTCATGAAGTCCAGTACTTTTGTAGACTACAGCTTCCTCAGTTATCTCAGTGTACCCTCCATTTACAGGCAGTGGGTTGTTGCCCATTAACCTCCAAGGTTAAACATAAATGAAAAATAAACATGTAATTTGATTTTGGAAATTTGCATATAAAGTGCATTTGGGCCTTTTATTGTGGAATTAAGGAAATGTAGCTTATGTGTGAGCAGTCTGCAGCTGTATCTGGTAAATCCTTGGAGACCCAGTGTTCTTACTGTTATTCAGGTGTGTGGGATCGAATGAGTGCATTTTCCTTCGTGCCAAAACCCTTGATTGATAAGTTCCCGACTGTGCATTATAGCCAGCAAAGGCAATGTTTTCATTTAATCCAAGGTTGTAAGTCTTGATTATCAAAGCTGTACTATATGTCCAAACCTAACTAAAGAAGTAATTACGCCACACACAGGTGTCATGTAATTTCCAGCCACAAACACTGGTAACAGAATGGCTAGTTGTACAGAAGAAGTTAGTGACTTTCAACTTTGCACCATTATGAGATGCCACCTTTCCAACAAGTCAGTTTGCCACATCTCCGCCCTGCTGGAGCTGCCCTGGTCAACGGCAAGTGAAGTGAAAGTACTATGAAGGTCAAAATATCTGGGAGCAAGTTAAGCTGTGAAATGTTTGACCACACAAGCTCACAGAAAGGGACCTGATAACCCAACTGATGGCCAACTTGGATGGCAACAAATCCCACCAGCAACATTCAAATGGAAGGTCTTTACAGTATATTGTTATGGATGGGAGTGATTCCTGAAGCTACTTGCCCAATGTACAATGAATGTATTATCCAAATACAAATTATGACCAAGTAGGGCAGCCTTCATTTTTTAGGTCTCTGGAAACAAAGATATATACCAAGACATGCCCTTTTAAAATCTCAACCATACGCATGTCCCTTACCCTTTTCATCTGCATTGGGGTCAGCTCCCAGCTGAGATGATTCAATGTGAAAGCTAAGACGCCAGTCTCAGAAAGGCGTCTGGTCAATATCCAGCCCAGCATCTGATGCCAAAGCTCAAAATCTCCTGCTGCTGTATAATGCACCATCCATCCTTATGTGATTGTCTTATGCCATTATAAGGACATTTTAAAATGCTGTCCAGGTTTTTCTGACCTCTCACATAATTTTAAGAAATAGCATACAGAAATCTATGGAAAGTTGTTATATATTCTGTATAACTTCACATTAAATGTAATATTTTAATTGTATTACTTGAAGAGATCTGGTCAAGATATTAACATATTACTAATGATGGTGTATAACACAAGTGAAAAAATATGTAATGTAACAAATTGATCTTTTCATGTAAAAATAGGCATTTCCAGAGTCATTTCAGTCAAACTAAGAGGAAAAACAGCTTCTGTCACTACTAACTAATATATTAGCTCACACAGCATACTTTCCCAGTCAAACGAGCGATACTCCTAGACACCCCCCAATGCTATGTACGCTATGTTTGGTGAAGTAGTCCCTGATTATAATTGCTCAGCTAATGTTTTGTGAACTAAAGAGACAACCTAGACATCACATATTCGTATAAAGAGGAACACCTAGAGCAGGGGTGTCGAACTCCAGTCCTGGAGGGCCGGAGCCCTGTGTAGCTTAGTTCTATCCCTGTTCCACAACAAATCATTCAGTTCAAGAGCTGTGTGGTAATTAGCACAAGGAGTTGAATCAGGTGTGTTAAATGAGGGGAAACCCAAAAATGTGCAGGGCTCCAGCCCTCCAGGACTGGAGTTTGACACCTGTGACCTAGAGGGTATGTTATTCATCTAGTTTTATTGCATGTATGGGAAACTGCATCTCATAGTGGGGCATCGTATCTCATTTCCTTCACTGAAACTGCACCCATCAGAGAGATTTTTCTCTCCATTACTAGGGCACTTCATAACTGCACCCTTTTCCATTGCAAGGGTACCCATAGGGGCCACTTAAACCATTGTAAGGGCACCTTATTGGGTTCTGCACCACATTCTCTCCATTAGAAGGGCACTTCATAGCAGCACCCTTTATCATTGCAAGGGTACCCATAGAGGCCACTTAGACCATTGTAAGGACACCTTATTGGGCACTGAAGAACTTTCTTTCCAAGAAGGGTACTAATTTAAACACTTCATCATATTTTCTTGCTCTATAGAGTGCATCTCCCCACGTGAAGGGGCTAAGTCATGTGAAAGGCAGCCAATGACAGCGTTTTCACCACTCAAAAGGGCATTTTATTGATTTTATTTATGTTTCTTCAGCCATAGGGGCACTTGCCCCCCCTGCTCCCACCCCCGCCAAGTCCACCTGTGCTCCTACTGTAGGTAAGGGTTGGCAAAGCAGTTATTTTTGGTTAGAATAATTATCCACGATATACATCACATTTTTTTTGTTTGTTTACAAACCAATCGAATTGGAATGTATGTAGTAATGTTAATTGACCATTTATAAAAGATCAAGTAAGTTTTTAGTTCAATATCTAGTCACTAACTTAAGATCCACAAAGAAGTGAGATATACAGCACTGAGATGTTATGCAGGCTGAACTTGCTTTGTTTCACATTGGTCTGTTTTTGTTGTGATTAGGGTTGGGTGATAGCACTTTTTTCCATTTTGATCCAGTTCCAAGGTTGGTATCGCCGATACTGATCCCTATACGGAATTTCTAATCTTTTGTATGCATTAAATGGAAAATAGTGATGAACAATATGGAGAAAAATCATCATAGTGCAATATTTTAAATTTTTGTAATAAATATTGCTATATTTATAAAACAAAAAAAGAAACATTAGAACATAAAAACATAAGAACTATACAAACGAGAGGAGGCCATTCGGCCCATCGAGCTCGCTTGGGGAGAACTTAACTAATAGCTCAGAGTTGTTAAAATCTTATCTAGCTCTGATTTAATATCTTTTCCAATATTGTGCAGCCTAATAATGAAGTACTTACTACTACGAGATATCTAACAACA